TTTTGAAATTAAACTAGAAGTAAATAGAATCACCTTTCAACAATGACACTGAATATTGATTGACCGAAACAATAAATATGGACGAAGCTCATAACTTAATACTCATTACAAGATTAGTATATTCTGAATTGTATCACATTTTATCATATTGATTAATCTGAATCAATTTCTTAAACTCTTCTAGTAACCCAAAGCTAAATGTACACAACAACGTGAACATCAGAGAAAAGATGAGAAATATGAAAAGAATGCTATACTCTATGGTTAGTTTATGTACAGGCAATCGGAAATATTTACAATATTTCAGATAGCCTTGATCTTCTGGAAACATCTGAAACCCTATTCACCATAGTAACAGGATATATAATCATTTAATCAGAAATGTCATATGTGAATTTTCACTTTCTAGATGTCTCTGAAAAACGTCTATTTACAGCTAATAGAATAAAATGTTTCTGAGCATTTTCAGAACCCTTCTGGTCTCTTTCTTAACACACAAAATGTGAAATATCTCTATGTTGATTTGATTTGTAAAATACGTTCTCCATTATTTTACTGGATAAATCAGTAATATTCAATGAGACTATTCCTCAGGCGTGATACTATAAATCATGGACGATCCTTGGGAGTATTCACCTAGTAACTAGGACCAAATGACAGTTATAAACCAGTTTAAAGAATTAGAATTGTGATTTACAATTGATGATTAAGGTTAAGAATTAGATTTAAGGGTTTTCATCATAAACTGACATTAACTATAATACAAAAAGTCTATTTTTTAAAAAATGGCTAAATGAATTTCGCGCCAAAAATTCAAGACTTGTTATCATATACCTGATTGGTTCATTCATAAATTATAGTCTCACCTCCCCAGACTAAATCAATAAACGGAAGTGATTTTTTTAAAAAAAAAATTGGTTGTCTCCTATCAACTACTTATTTTTGTAGTTTTAATAGATTAGTTAAAGCAACAACCAGAAAAAAAACAAAAAAAAATCTATGCCAGAATTAATCCACATTTATGTAAATATATAATACATAGGCATAGATACATAGATGTAGACATAGACGTCCTGGTAACTAAAAATGAGCAATTCTATTGGAGCCATCCATAATTTACTACTAATTAGTTTATGATTAAAATACATCATTATTGAAGAAAAAATAATAGTGAATTTATAAACAATGTGTCATGTTTATAATAAAGATGAATAAATGACTAGTAATGGAGTCTAGTTTGATACATGTCACTTCGTCCTATTTGAGACTCGTCAGCTGGATGTATCTGTATCACAGAATTGCTAGTGTGTTATGTTTGTTTGTTTTTCATTCGATTTTATGAAATGAATATTCTTAGATTCATTTGGAATTAGAAGGGGTTTTGTGGAGATTGTCGTAATTTAAACAAGTGAGATCATGAGTCAATTGAAACTAGACCACCATCGGAAACCTGAAAGCACTGTACAGCCATCTCGTCCTAGTATGGGACTCCTTAGCAGTGCGCATCCACGATCTTGCCTGACGGGATTCGAACTAGGGACCTACCAGTCTCACGCCAGGCGCTTAACCAACTAGACCACTGAGTCAACCGGTATCCAACAGTGTTAATGTCTAACTTCAACTAATCCACGAAATTGAACGACGCATCCACCGTTGTCATCAGTGGGCTACTACCTCACAACTGACCCGGTTGAACTCCATTTGGTATTGTTTGCTTGTATATTCCTATTGCTGTTAAGAACTGCAATTGATCAGTCTCTTATTGGCATATATACATCCTGTACGGATTGCCTAGATTATTGCCTTATGTTACAAGCTTTTTAAGCAAAAAGATTCTTGAATGTTTTTGATTATGTAATTGGTTTGATTCAATTGAAGTGTAGGGAACTTGACTTTAATAGCTGAAATCATCGGGAAAAAGAAATGAACATTTTCATAGTTCCAGCTGGTTCAACAAAATGTACAGTAGTGTCGTCAAATAAAGGTCAATGATCAATTTAATAAAAATAACGATAGATTAAAACTACTGATGATAAAATCTGTTGAAATGATTAGAATAAAACTATACAACTTGATTAGTTTCTTTTAGATGGAGTTTTGTCCTCTGAGCTAGGTAGTTTGGTCGTGGAGCTTTAATTGTTCTTCTAAACGACATCATCAGAATAAACTTCATATATAGAAGTGAAGTGTTCGAACTTCTCCACATGTGGTTCACAGCTTATCCTGTAGACCTCGATGTTGATCGGTTCTTGTTGGTCCTAAAACTGTCATTGTTTACTTACTTGTTTTGACTGTATCTCCCATTAGTTTGATTTTTGTTCCTATGTTTGTGTGTGATTGGTTGGTAAATTGGATCGATTTCATTGTGCATGTTGATTACTGGTTAACCTGAGTACCAAGCCCCCAAAAATTATCTGGTGTTTTTGAAATTTCATCTATCCAAGATTCTCACATTTTATAGTCAAATGAGTGTCCTCAGTTGTCCACGTTACTTACTTCCTTATGCTTGTTACCCCCCCCTCCATAGAACATAGGCCATCGACCAGAATTCTTCAACCAAATCGCTCTGTCCAGGGCCTTCCTTCATAGTTCTTTCCAATTTTTGTTCATTTTTCTTATGTCTGTTCCCATTTCTCGGCGTAACGTATTCTTTGGTCTTCCTTGTCTCCTTCGGCATTGAGGATTCCATGTGAGAGCTTGTCTTGTGGAGCGGTTGGATGCTTTCCTCAATGTGTGTTCTATCCACTTTCAACACTGCTTTCTGATTTTGATTTGATTTCTCCCACAGTAGGTTGTTGCAGTCAGTGTCTGGTCAACGTATCCGAAGTATTTTGCCTAGACAAATTGTTAATAAACACCTGTATCTTCTGGATGATGGCTTTCGTAGTTCTCCAAGTTTCCGCCCCATACAGTAGAACTGTCTTGACATTTGTATTGAAAATTCTGACTTTGGTGTTGGTTGACGGTTGTTTTTAGTTCCAGATGTTCTTCAGTCGTAAATATGCTGCTCTTGCATTGCCGATCCTTACCTTCACATCTGCATCAGGTCCACCGTGTTCATCAATGATGCTGCCCAGATATGTATAGGATTTTACATCTTTCAAGTCTGCTCCGTCAATTGTGATTGGATTGGTGCATGATATGTTGTATCAAAGAATCTTGCTTTTCCCTTTGTGTATATTGAGACCTACTGCTTCTGAGGCTGCTGCTACACAGGTCGTCTTCTCCTTCATTTGCTGTTGCGTGTGCGATAGAACTCCACTTGGAGCTCCTCTGGGGCTACTGCCGGTCCCAAGCCGGGATAAAAGAGGAGGGTTGCGCATGGGGTTAGTAACCCAACCCGTAGAAAACTATCTCGCTAAAAGAACGCTAACCTGTTGTTCATATGCATTGATATAAGTGAGGAAATGTCGTGCATTTGATTACTAATTAATGTTCATGCAGGCGAAGACGACGAGGGTGTGCGCTTTGCGCTGATAATGTCGTTCAAAAGAGCGATAAAAGCTCCACGACCAAACTATCCAGCTCAAAAACAAAACTCTGTCAAAATCATCCACCTGAACTACAAATTTTCTCCACCATCTCAAAACCTAAACAGTCTTTACAACAAACTTTTTCATTCCTTGGAACTTCAAAGAATAGAATAGAATATTGAAAGATCTTATCGATGTATATGATTATTCTATGCACTGGTCAGTGAAGATCAAAAACTCCTTAGTAGACAATAATGAAAAAATTGTGTCCTTTGATGTTACAATCTTTTTTTCCTTACAACGGCTTAGCAACGATGAACAACACATAGAATACAAGTTTAATTAAACTGATCTATGTCTTAAAACATTATTCCAATACAATATAACCGCGAACAATGTAGTACTCATTGTGAAATATGTTAAGCTGAGTTTTAATCCTCTAAAGTATTACTGATATGAAATTCCAATCAATTGAGAAATGCTCTTGCAACACTTTTTGTTTTACAATGAATCTTTTAATGATTTCAATCAGTTTAAAAGAATCTAACTCGGAATTAAGAGTTTTTCTAATGTTCGATAGTGAAATTCACAAATAATGAAACATTGAGCATATGGTATGTGCCCCCAAATGCTCTGGTACGGTCGAGGATGAGAAGAGTCCACTGTCCCACTCAAAATGCTCTCATATGGCCACGAGTATACAGCCACTGTAAGGGAAGTCCTACTCACTGCCTTCTCGCGTTATTATTACTATTTATGAAATGGATAGGAGGAAAAGCGAATGTCTAACATTTTCACCGGGTTGGTGGATATGGAGAGTCCACCTAGCAGGGGAGTTGGAAAACCTTGATTCCAAATCAACGGTGCACATAGAAACCAGGATCCTGAAGAAATACATGACTTATGAATTATTTATTGGTCACCGACTACTATAGAACTGCATTTGTTTATATTACTCTATTGCCTTATTGATCGGACCTTTAGATCGAAGGCTCCGGATGTGTCCCCGTGAGAAAACTACCTGTTTCGGTTTGGGCACCTTGGCAGCATCACAACCTACATACAAATCAAGTGACTTTTGTGGCGCATATGTATTCGGTTCCCCTTTGTGCCAATATTTGTGTTCGAATAAATAAATAACAAATGGTATAATACAAAATATATCTCGAATAATTAATTAAACTATGATGTTTATTTCGTCCTAGTATGGGTCTCCTCGGCAGAGTGCATCCATGATCCCGCCTCATGAGAACACTGAACCGGTATTCAGTGATGTTAATGTCTATCTTCAGCCAATCCACGAAATTGAGCCATCGTCCATCATTGTCTTCAGTGAGCGGGGTCGTCGATGTCGCACTGATGAGTACCATTATACTAGGACGAAGCAACTATCCAGTACTTCCAGGTTTTCCATAGTGATCCAACTTCAACTAATTCATGAATTTAATTATTAAAATGACTACAATCTTCACAACCCCCTTCTTTCCCTATCGGATACATTTTATAATATAGATTGTATTGACTTACCACTTTCAGCTGCTTTCCATAAACCTTTTTTAAAGATCATTTTTAATTTACGTTTCTTTTCAAAATCTGTACCAAATACAGTTATAATTAATGTAGGTGGTTTTAAACCCCATTTACGTTTAAGAATATCACGTAATACAGAATCTGGTGTATCACTATTTAATTTACAAAACTGAATAAGAAAAAAATAAGAAGAAAAAGAAAAGTGAAATGTAAATACATATTCTATAATCGATTTAATAGGATCTTATTGAAATCATGAATTAATCAATAGTATTCGATCTACACTAAGAAGAACTTGACATAAATGACATTGATCACCCATCACTCAGTGATCAATCCATTGTGAATACATCTCAGTCCGATAGGAGGTCAGTAGCGTGACGGATAGTCCGGTGGTAACGTCTGCGAATGGGAAGCTGTGTAACATGGGATAGAATCCGTCTGGGAGGATCTATTCCCTCAAGATTACAGGTACATAGCACGAAACCCGGAGCCAGGGTTTCTTATTGACTACCTTCAACCAACATCTTATTTCAACATAGTGCGCGCAATACCGAGTCACCTTGACTAGTTACAACATTGCAACTTGGTCTATAGGATTCAATGTGCACTAAGAAGGACTTGACATACATGACAATGATCACTACCCATTAATCAGTGTTAGATAAATATTGAAGAAGATCATTTAATATTATAAATCGGTTGAACTTAGAAAATGAACAGTGTTGAATCCTTGTCCAATGGTCTGCTTGGGTTTTAAACATCTGCACTTGTGACTCAACGACCTGAGTTCGATTCTTGTGTGTGTGTGAGATGGTGAATGTGTGAAATGCTAAAGAGTCACATACTAGGACAAAATGGCAATCTAGTACTTTCAGGTATTTAATGATGGTTTAACATGGATTGGTTTATGATTTGAATGCAAATTAATAATCTCAACGGCTCTCATACTGAATACTGTTTTCCTATGAAAATAAATCTCTGAAGATTAATGAATGAAAAGACAAAAAACGGCAACTATTTGTTACCCTTTTCAATAAAACTTTAGATGTTAATGATAAGTTATTAACATTGAATGATGAGTAACAGTTTAAAATTATCAAAGAAATTAGTAAATATTATTGATGTTCACCCCTAGACTCGAACACAACAGGTACATCCAGCCGAAGAGTCTCTTATAGGACGAAACGCGTGTCAAACAAGATTCCACTACTAGCCACTATCCATCTTTGCATAAAATACTTGTGACTTAATAGTAATAATGAGGCAATCCGTACAGGATGTATATATAACATCCTAAACAACAACTGGAAGATACAAATAAAACAACACTAAGTGAATTTGAATTCAATGCTCTTTCTTCTTATATCCAACACCAGGGAATAACAACATATTCAAACATGTATTGCCTTTTAATACCTTCCATTATGATAATTACTTTTTCTTGTCTTTTTTTCTTCTTTTAAGTTTCTGATATAAATTGTTCTTAATATCTACTTTGATATTCAGACAAGATAATTAGAATACTACTCTGATATACTGGAACGTTGTATGTTGGTTCAAACGCACACACACACATACATACATACATGTATATTCAGTTATTTCTGTACATATCCATGTATTGTTTATCACTGTTTGTGTTATTTCGTTGTGGTAAACAGTTTCTTCTTTAAACAAACTATCATGTCAATAAAGGAAACTGATAGTATAGACAGAACATAGATCGTTTGACAAATCAAGAACATGTAAGTAGTGTTCTCAGCGGAGGAAGAAATCAGGAAGAAGTGCTGGAAGTGGTTAAGACACACATTGAGGAATGCATTCAACTGCAACAGAAGGAAAGCTCTCACATGGAATCCTCAAGACTAAAGAAGAAGAGAAAGACCGAAGAACACATTACGCTGAGAAATGGAGACAGACATGAGAAAAATGAACAACAATTGGATAGAAGTAGAAAGGAAGGTTCAGGACAGAGTGAGTTGGTTGGAGAATGCTGGTTGACGGTCTGTGCTCCATTGTGGGTAAGAGTTGTAAGTAAGTAAGTAGTGTAAATGTTTGCTTAATTATAACACATATCAACATATACAGATGTATGCATAAATGTAACATTCATTAAAGGATTGAAAATTTTATGTCATCTAATCCCTGAATGATAATTTGTTATTGTTTAACTAAATTTTTCATATAAAATAGTCATATACAGACCATCATGGAAAACCTGGAAACACTGAATGGTCGTTCCGTCTTATCACGGAACTCCTCAGTAGTACAAATCCACGATCCCTCTTCGCGAGATTCGGACCCAGGACCTATCGGTCTGAAGTGCAAACCTGTAACCTTTAAGCCAGTGAACTTGCCTGCATCATGAGTCACAATAACAAATTCTTTATCTTTCAATAAACTACATAATTTCTATCATTTACTCATCAATAAATATTGTTTACATTTAGTTTAGAGAAACATGAATTAAAGTAGAAAATGATTATTATCAAATTTCAATTGAGATCATAAAATGACCAATGTTAGACCATCATTATAAATCTAAAAATGATGAACAATCATTTTATCCTAGTATAAGACTTCTTAGCAGTACGTATCTACAATCCTGCACAGGGGACTCGAACCCAGGAGCTTAAGTTCCGCGCAAACTCTTAACTTCTTTCAGGTTTTCAATAGCGGTCTGACAATGAACAATTCACGATCTCCACTGAAAATCAACAATCTCCACAACCTTATACTGATAGTATTATTAAATTATCAATATGGCGATTCATGTAGATTGTAGTATTTTCACAGTTGAAATCATCAGTCAATCAACATTAGACCACCATTGAAAAACCTGGATTCATTAGCATTATATGCAAAGATGTATAGTAGCTAGCAGTGGAATCCAGTTTGACGTGCATTTCGTCCTATATGGATGTACCAGCACCTTAGATTTCATGTTCACTTTGGGGCCCAAAATTGGTACCCTTCGGTTCAGAAGTCATAGTATTACCCACTAAGCTACTGAGAACTGGGCTCGAGTGAAGAAGTGAACATCAATTTTTCGATGCAGGTGCATCCAACTGATGAGTCACATAATAAGATGAAACGAGCACCCTGAATTTCACCGCAAGCCACCATCCATCTTTGCGCATAGCTTGAAATTTTCATTGATTAGACAGCTTGGTTAGACTTAATTTGAAGCATCTTAATATTCCACACCTATAACTGAATCAGTAAATGAACATATTAAATACAATTCACTAGAGATTTAGCATGGAATCAAAGTTCTACTTAAATGATACGTCTTTATGAATTCATTCTAATTCATAATTTAAATCATCCTGAAACTGAGAAAATTTATTATTCACAAATTGGTGACTAGTACAAACGTAAAGGATTAAACGTTGTGACTTATCGTTTTCATTAAAACTTGAATATGACCTCAGTCTTCAATGAACTAATCTTCACTAATCAAGATACGTTTACCAATTGTAAGACCCTATTTCAGTCAAATCTCTTTTATCTATGGTTCAGTGAACTATCCCGAACAGTAGGCATCCACGATCCCTCACACGGAATTTGAACCCAGGACCTTCAATCTCGTACACGAATGGTGGTGCAATATCATGAATTATTTTAAGTTAGACATTAACACATTTGTAGGCCGGCTGACTCAGTGGTCTAGAGATTAAGGGTTCACTCACGAGACCGAAGGTCCTATGTCAATTATTTCAACCTAATTCTGCCTCTAAACCCACGCGATCTTTCATTCTCGGACACTGTTCAGTCATTGAGCCAACAATTCGGAGACAACTCCTTGCTATTCAATGCGCGCTATCGATGTTTGAAGCTCACTATGAACGAAGATGCTGACTTCCTCACACATGTGGGTATAGTTAACCGAGAATGCGAACGCTTCCAGTTGAAGTCGCTTACTGAAGACCAATTTAAAGCTCTCATTCTTATGTGCAGCCTTCAGTCCATTGGAGTTTCCCTGCGTGGGTTCGAATCCGATCCCTATCGCCAATCGTTATAGCCCAATTATCGATCACACCAAGGAGTCGTAAAACACGTGCGAGCAGCCTAGAGTTTTGATTGGTCTTGCTTTCCGTCTAGCCCAGCCAGTTAAGTCCAGAACACCAGTCTCAGCTTCTGAAATATGAATTCTCATATTTCAAACATACTGAGTTTATATACCAATCAAGCAGACTACAACGTACCAATAACATTGGAAACAATATTTGTACAAGAATCAGCCAAATGTGACTGTGAATGAGGGAGACAGTGAGTAATAGACAGGGAATAATTCAAAAATGGTAAATTGTATAATGACAGTTCATAGGTTAAAATAAACCTTATGATAAGAGAGACATGAATATGCATAATTTAGCTACTTAATAATTATACAATAGAAATATACGTTTAGTATTGGTCCGTAAATGGTTCGCAAAAGTTATCATTCATTATTCTTGTCTGGACATAACACAGATCTTAGATTTTGACACGAAATTCACTCATTCATTTGACTAAATTTCATTTTTTTTCCCATTATATAGCTGATATTAGTTCATCATCATCATCATCAACAAAAAGAGCCTTAGATCTAATTCTTAACTCTAACCATCAATTGTATATCATGAACCTTATCCTTCCCACAGATCTATAACTCTTATTTAGTTCTAGTTAGTAGATGAACATTCAAAAGTTTAATTTACCATCGTTCAAAGACCTTCCATACTTTATATTTTCATCGTTTGTATAAATAAAGAATATCAATTCCAAAAAACAAAACTGAATACATAAATTATAGTTTACTTACATTACCTGATAATAATTAGTCCTAACAACAATATGACTCATTTATACGGGTGTGGTTATAAGTTTAATATCATTAATCCCATAGTTTATTACTTGTCAACGGAAATGTTTATTATTAACTATAACTACAGTAATAGTAAACTGTATATTTTATTAATCAACTTCAATATAAACAACAATAACACCGACAGCAACAACAACAACAACGACGACTGATGACGACAACAACAACAAAATCGATTGAAAAAAATGTAATCACATTTTATTTTGTATAATTCAGTTTTATTTTTTGGATAATAATGAAAACTAGTGACAATGTGATGTGTGGTACTTATATCAGTCAGTCAATCAGTCAGTCAG